AAAGCTTGTCTCTCTCATGGACAGAAGTTGGTCCAACCCACCTCATCTCTCTAATATCCAGGGACTGACACAGCTACAACTACACTGCATATTTAGGGCAGCGACTGTCTTTTTGTTCTGTGTTTGTACAGCACCGGGCACAAGAGGGTCCTGGCCCATGACTGCAATACAAATAATCAAAGATCTGCCCACAACCAAAATGTGTACAGATCCTGCCGTATATCATCCTGCTTTGCCTGTGCATGGGACTTTCCTTCACCACTCTCGCCAACAGGCGACGTGGCATGTTACTGATCGCGAATGGCGTGGATGGGACTCTCTGATAAGGCCCGTTTACTTTGGTGGTAACTCAGCAGCAGTGGGAAGGGTGGGTTGGATGTGGAATCGGAGGCAGCCACAAGAGCAGAACTTCTTTTTGCTAAGCTGCATTATAAGAAAGAGCAAAAAAAATATATACCCAAGTTTCTCAGTGTATTTCATAGGTCTTGTGCCCAGCAGAAACCACAGTGCTGGCTGGTGTCCCACTGCCCACCTCAGAGCAACCCTTCCCTCCTTGACCAAAACTTACTCCCAGACACCATCAGCCTTTGTTACTGGGCAGAAACTCCGGGCTTGCATGAGCCTCTAAATCCAACACAGCAGCTTCCGAACCCAGATTGTGAGCCCGGAGAACTTGCCCCGGTCCTGGGTGTGCAGGTCTGCGAAGGCGCTGGTCCCTTCTCTGCCCGCATGCCTGCACGAGCCAGCAAAATGAGGATGCTACAAAATGCAAAACAACACAGAAAAGGAATGGAAATTAAAGCTCCTTCTGCCCTTGGCTCTGCCCAAGCCCCTTTTTGCCCAAGGTGCGTTTTCTGACCGCTTAGACCGTGGTGGGTGGGTTCATTTTCCTGCTCCTAGAGACAAATGCTGATTTGGCCCAGCCTGGCGTTCCTTTTCCGCATCTCAGGTGCTCAGAAGACAGCGAGGGTTTACGCTGTGGTTATGTAAGAGCAGATGTCACATGGAATTAAATACAGCAGGTTAGATGCCAAGCGCTCCCGCTCCCGCCGAGAAAGGAGAGCCGTGTATCTCTCAAGAGTGACCTCTACAGGCAATTAAAAATGGCATTGGTTTAGAGAGAAGCTGCCCAGCCAGGTCTCCTTGGCTGGAAGGATGATCCGAGCAGGTGGGGGTGGAATATATTTGAAATCCTATCACTTCCTTGATTCATCCAGCAGTTGTAAGCTCTCTGAGGCAGGATGAGGAGTATATGTTTACAAAGCCTTATATAAACTTGCACCCTCCAGACAATTTAAACCTGCCACACCACCATTCTGCCTTTGCTTTACGTGGACGCAGGGCTAGTCCATGGAGTTTGGTCCTGCAGGCATCTTAAAGGGGCAGGAGCATGGACGGTGCTCGCGTAATAACCAGCTATTAGATATTTTGTATTAGCCCCATCGTTGTGTGCGTGACTCCAGGCTTTATTTACTGCACACGATTCAAACGATTTATTAATTCCCTCAGGGGCCTCTCTATGGTGCTTGGAAGTAATTCGGTTTTGTGATGCGCTCAGGGACCACAACACCCCTGTGAGGGGCGGGGTGGTATGATCCCCATTTTACAGATGGGGGCAGGGCGTAGATTAAGGTCAAAATCATCCACTCG